TCCCCGGAACCCCAGGTTTCGGCAATAGAACGCCAAATTATTTTAAGTTTACTGGAGGCCGTGCAAGAGAAGCCGAGCCACAAGCCGAAGGGGTGAGCTTTTACTTGTGCTACATTGTTGTGCTTCTAGTTTGAACTGTAGGTTTTTGCTCAGGCCCCAGTTGAGGATCCGGGATCGAAAACTTATGTCTGGGGTACCAACATTAGCATCGATGATACCCGCGAAGCTATGCATTTATTTTTTGAAAGATTTCGTGAAAGCCCAGAGGCTGTGGAGGCCAAGTATATCCAGCTTTTAGATCAGGTAAAAATGTAAACTTGCCATCGATCGTCCTTGAGGGTGAACTGTGGGTGCAGGTTATCGAACTAGAAGGACGCTCGCTAAATATTGACGCTCAGAATATATTTACCTACAACGAGGAGCTCTACTCTCAAGTTGTCCGTTATCCGCTTGAGGTTATTCCGCTTTTTGATATGGTAGTGGGAGACATAGCTAGAGAACGTAGGCCGGACTGGAACAATCATATTCAGGTACCTGATTTCCTTTTTCTTCTTTTCCCAAACCTGAAACTCTTTCAGGCAAGAATATTTAATTTGAAACTGAGCACAAATCTTCGGGATCTAAATCCCTCCGATATTGAAAAGCTCGTTTCCGTGAAGGGAATGATCATAAGGTGCAGCTCAGTTATACCAGAGATAAAGGAAGCATTTTTTCAATGTCTCATGTGCGGCCATTTTCCTGAAGTGACACCGGTTGATCGAGGTGAATCTTTTTCTTGTCCTTGTTCTATATCAAGCTATTGTTGCAGGTCGTGTAAACGAGCCGTCCAAATGCGCGAATCCTGCGTGCTCTGCCGTGAACTCCATGACAATGATTCATAATCGCTGCACGTAAGTTCCTCTCTATCGAAAACAAAATTATTAAGGCAGACTATTCTCCTCTTCAGCTTCACAGACAAGCAGATTGTAAGACTACAAGAAACACCAGATGCTATTCCTGAAGGGGAAACTCCTCACACAGTTAGTCTTCTTATGCATGACAAGTTAGTCGATGCTGCGAAACCAGGTGATCGTGTGGAGGTAAAGTATTTCGTTGCAACTGTTTGTGTACCCAACTTCAGGATATTTCAGGTGACTGGTGTCTTTAGAGCCATGGCAGTGCGCGTTGGACCAAATCAACGGACTCTAAAGTCTCTATACAAGGTGTTTTACAAAAATATTTTCGTGTGTTACAGCATTTCTCACCTACATATTACAGACCTACATTGATTGCCTTCATGTGAAAAAGGCAGATAAATCGCGTATGCAGATGCATGGTGGAGTTGAGTTTGATAATAATGAGATTTTCCTAGAGACAGATACCTCTCCGGCTGTCTATGAAGCCAAGGTACGCATCTTTTTCATATACACCACTGTTTGAGAAAGATTTCAGATTAACAAGCTCAAGGAACTTTCGAAGCTTCCTGATATCTATCAAAAGCTTACGAGGTCCCTTGCTCCCAGCATATGGGAGTTGGAAGACATAAAGAAGGGTCTTCTTTGCCAGGTGAGTCCGCTGGATAAATCGGCTTTTCTTATAACATTCTCTTGCAGCTGTTTGGCGGTTCTACGAAAAAGCTTTCGTCAGGAGCTTCGTTTCGTGGTGACATAAACGTACTCCTTGTTGGAGACCCAGGGACCAGCAAATCTCAGCTCCTTCAGTATGTGCATAAGATTGCTCCTCGTGGAATTTATACGAGCGGTAGAGGTAGTTCTGCGGTTGGTCTTACAGCATATGTTACCAAAGATCCTGAAACTCGAGAAACTGTAAGCATTTGTTTGAAACTATTCCTCTGAACAGTCTTTTGCTTTTGTTATCAGGTTCTAGAAAGTGGTGCTCTGGTTCTGAGTGATCAAGGAATCTGCTGCATAGATGAATTTGATAAGATGTCTGAAAACGCGAGAAGCATGCTCCACGAGGTACAAGACACATTGCAAGTTCATCATTGCATTTTGTTTTACAGGTTATGGAACAACAAACTGTGTCTGTTGCTAAGGCTGGAATAATCGCCACTCTAAATGCTCGGACATCTGTTCTAGCTTGTGCCAATCCCAGTGGGTCTCGCTATAATGCACGACTGTCTGTCATTGACAACATCCAGCTTCCTCCAACATTATTATCCAGGTGAAACTCATCCTTTCTTGATGTTGTTTACATGTTTTACTTCTTCAGGTTCGATCTTATATATTTGGTATTGGATAAGCCGGATGAACAGACAGACCGGCGATTAGCCAGGCACCTGGTTGCTTTGCACTACGAGGATCCGGAGGTAAGGCTACGTGTCTTCCATCATTCGTGTTTAATCAAAGTTGTGGTTCAGGTTGAATTGCTCGAAGCACTAGACTTGCCTACAATAGCTGCATATATCACGTATGCTAGGCAGCGTATACACCCAAAATTGTCCAATGAGGCTGCAGAACGTCTGATTGAGGGATATGTGAACATGAGAAGACGAGGAAACTTTCCTGGAAGTCGCAAGAAGGTATGAACTTTGTCTTCGTTTTATTCTCTAGGCTAAACGGTACAGGATGTAGGTAATAACAGCCACACCTCGTCAGCTCGAAAGTCTCATTCGAATAAGTGAAGCTCTTGCACGAATGCGCTTTTCTGAAACGGTACCAACAACTTTTTGTTCAAAGCTCCTAGTTATCCTAATTCTACTGCAGGTTGACGAGTGCGACACGGTCGAAGCATTGAGATTGTTGGACGTAGCATTACAGCAATCGGCTACTGATCATTCCACAGGTACTGAAATTCTTGTTCACAAACGTAGAGGGACTTCTGTTTTCCTGAACCAGGAATTATTGACATGGACCTCATCACAACGGGAGTTTCCGCCAGTGAACGCACAAGGCGCGAGAACGTCGTCTCTTCTGTAAAAGTGTTCATCATGGACAGAATTCAAGCAGGATCGAGCTTACGAATAACAGAGGTCTACTTTGTATTTTTATGACTTTTGTATTTTTGCTTCAATTTCTGGTTTTGAATGCAGTTATTTGAAGACATTCGAGCGAATGTCAACCAGGAGATGAGCTTACAAGATGTAAATTTCTTTGTTTCATGTTAAGCCTCAGATTTTATACTTTTCTTTTTTTGCAGCTCAAAACTGCGTTGAATACGCTTATGACAGAAGGATTTGTTTCAGTTCTAGGGGATAACGTGGCCAGAAGCTGAATGCCCTTGTAAGATTGATTTATTGACATGTTTTGGCTGGTTGTTCTAGGATCGCTTGCTGTTACTTCGAAGAAATTCATCATAAGTTTACGACGTGCTGCTTCCTGCTGAGCTATGCTACTGTCTGGCACGGGTAATGCCAAGGAGGCACTGCTCATGCCAAATCAACAAACAGCATTTGGATGGCAGTCGTATTCAATACAGGTAGTATGCTAGAACTGGACGAAGGAACACTGCTGAAAGGGCCACGTAGCAATGAAGTCATTCCAGACAAAACAAGGTCAGTGCTTCCTCTATTTTCAACTTCGTTCCCTCAGCATATTTTTCCTTTCCATGATTGAAGGTGTCACTCATACACATGGTGACAAGCTCGTTTTTATGAAGCTCCGCAACGACACACTGAAAAAGAACTCTAGCTATGGTTCGCCATGCGCTGGATTCGCCAAGAACACACACGTCCTCTTCCTCGAAGTATATAACTATATCGACTCTGGAGAGCCCGTGAAGTACCAAAGAACTTGGCAGCGAAATGTTTTCCAAAGTTGGAAAGAACCCGGCGGATCAAAGCGAGTAAGATACGGACTCGGGAGGATTTTTGAAAGGCTCGTCTATACACAGTGGACTTATACGTCACGACTTTGGGATGAAGAACAGGAAACGCAGACACCGTTTGCTCCAGCGTAACAAACTCTGCTTCTCAGTCTCCCAGCAGTAATGGCTACTCGGTATCAATATCAATCAGGTGAGCTTCCATGCTTTTCTATCTTTCTTCCGCTTGATCGTGGCTGGTTTTAATATCTTTGTGTTTTCCAGCCAAGAGTGGAAGCAGGCACGAAAACGACGCAGCCCAGGCTGGTAGGTACTTTTCCCGCAAAGCAATAGAGTTTAGAGTTCTTCGCAGTTTTCTTTCCATTCCTACGCAGACAAGCTTCCAGCAGCGATTTTTATACTCGTTTTTCGCGGGAAGGATAAGTTTTATATGAATTGAAGAGGGACGGGCAGACTGAACCAAGCCAGTTCTCCTTACCAGGTACCACTGATCATCAAAGTTACCACTCCAGTGCCTCGCTGTGTTCTTCGCAGTGTCATAAGCAAGAGCGATAGAAGAGGTCTCTGGCAGTGAAATAGACGGGGGCTGGATTCTACCGCATTTGAAAGCGCTCTTGGCGTCCTGGATTCCGGAATCTGGGAAGCGCGACCAACGGCCGGAAAACCCGCGGATCGAGGGTCCCTGCCACCCCTGGCCGTTCGATCTTACACCCGACAGGCTGCCCACATGGCGCGCATCCGTCCGTCGGATTGTGGGCTCCATCCTGGCCGTCCGAGTCGTGTCACGTAGCTTGCTCCCATTCGTGTTGCTACTATACCTTATCGCTCTCTCTCGCCAAAAACCTTTGCAAGGAATTTGGATCGCTCGCTCTCCTCCTCCAATCCAATCAAACCCAGGGGCTCTTTTGGGACAAAAACATCTTTAAGGAATCTTTGTGAGGTGGGGCAAACGTCGCATGATACATCGCGATCCATGGATGTTCTCGATTGATCAAATAATTCGTAAAGGCTCAAAGGTATTTTCCATGGTTTCTAGAATGCACCAATCTAGATAATGCCAAAGTTGGCGCCAATGTGGCGATTAAATTTTAGGGTCTATGGGTAGGAGGACGTGACGTTATGGCGAAAGCATCGCAGTAAAATCAGGCGCGAACGAAGGCGCGAGTCAAATTCTAACTGAGCGGGGTTAAATTAACTGACGCGTCTGTTTGCTTGTGGCAGTAACGTATACGCTGGAATATGCGTATATTGTGCCCTCTACTCGTAGCTCTCGTTCGTCAGTGCAAGAAAACAACGGCCAGGGGCGGGGAATAGGAGTGCGCGGCGAGGCGAGAATCCGGGCAGCGATCGATTCAATCCATGGCGCTGCGCGCTAGCGGACGAGCATTCGTGATCTTGTCTGATCGATGAGCGAGCTCCCCCGAGAGAGCGCTGCCGCCTTCTTGATTCGGCTGCGGCGAGCTAGGGTAGTGTGATCTTCGCAGCGCTCGTGAGGGCAGGGAATGGCGGCTCGAAAATCCGGGTCGCCGCGCGATATTTCGGGATGAGGAGAAGGAAGGCGGCGCGCACGAATCTTGCGGGATGAGCGTCGTCGCAAGATCATCCGAGGCGATGGCGCCGCTGCTGCTGCTCGCGTTCTTGGTTTGGGGGTTTTGCGGCGAGCTCGTGGCGGCGCAGGGAGGATCGGCTCAGAGCGATATTGCGGCTCTCATCGCCTTCAAGAGCAATCTGAATGATCCGGAGGGAGCGCTGGCTCAATGGATCAACTCCACCACCGCGCCGTGCTCCTGGCGTGGGATTTCTTGCTTGAACAACCGAGTCGTGGAGCTCCGCCTCCCTGGCCTGGAGCTGCGAGGAGCAATCTCAGGTAATCTTTCTATTTTCGTGTCTCGTTCTTCCCAGAGATTTCATCCACTCTTGCCGTGTAGATGAGATCGGCAATCTCGTGGGCCTGCGGCGATTGAGCCTCCACTCGAATCGATTCAACGGCACCATCCCAGCATCGATAGGCAACCTCGTGAATCTCCGGAGCCTGGTTCTGGGTAGAAATCTCTTCTCTGGGCCGATTCCAGCCGGCATTGGCAGCTTACAGGGTCTCATGGTTCTGGACTTGTCCTCCAATCTTCTGGGCGGAGGCATTCCACCCCTCTTTGGCGGATTGAGCAGCCTCCGGGTGCTCAACCTGTCAAACAACCAGCTCACAGGTGTGATTCCTTCGCAGCTCGGGAATTGCTCGTCACTATCTTCGCTCGATGTCTCGCAGAACAGATTGAGTGGGAGCATCCCAGACACTCTCGGCAAGCTCCTCTTCTTGGCTAGTCTCGTGCTGGGCTCCAACGATCTCAGCGACACTGTCCCTGCGGCTCTCTCCAACTGCAGCAGCTTGTTCTCGCTGATCCTCGGGAACAATGCACTCTCTGGCCAGCTCCCATCGCAGCTGGGTCGCTTGAAAAATCTCCAGACCTTTGCTGCCTCGAACAACAGGCTTGGAGGATTTCTTCCGGAAGGTCTCGGCAACCTCTCCAATGTGCAAGTACTCGAGATCGCCAACAACAACATTACTGGTACGAGAACGAGTTTTTTTTTTTTTTTTCTTTCTTTCTTTTTTCGTCTCCTTGTTTGCTTCCAGTGCTAAAAGCTTGTCTTTTATTTCAAACTACAGGTTCCATTCCTGTTTCGTTTGGAAACTTGTTCCAACTGAAGCAGCTCAATCTCTCGTTCAATGGCTTATCCGGATCTATTCCTTCTGGGCTTGGCCAATGTAGGAACCTCCAACGCATCGATCTTCAATCAAACCAGTTATCATCGTCTCTTCCCGCCCAGCTCGGCCAGCTCCAGCAGCTCCAGCATCTTTCGCTCTCTCGCAACAACTTGACCGGACCCGTTCCATCCGAGTTCGGTAATCTCGCCTCTATCAACGTTATGCTGCTCGACGAGAACCAACTTTCGGGTGAGCTTTCCGTGCAGTTTAGTTCGTTGAGGCAGCTCACGAACTTTTCTGTTGCTGCCAACAATCTTAGCGGCCAACTTCCAGCGTCGCTGCTACAGTCCTCTAGTCTTCAGGTGGTCAACCTCAGCAGGAATGGTTTCTCGGGAAGTATACCACCGGGCCTGCCGCTGGGCAGGGTCCAAGCTCTTGACTTCAGCCGGAACAACCTCTCTGGAAGTATAGGATTCGTTCGGGGCCAGTTTCCGGCGCTGGTGGTGCTTGATCTTAGCAACCAGCAGCTTACCGGTGGCATTCCTCAAAGCCTGACAGGTTTCACGCGGCTTCAGTCGCTGGATCTGTCGAACAACTTTCTTAACGGCTCGGTTACATCCAAAATTGGTGATCTGGCGAGTCTGCGGCTGCTCAACGTGAGCGGGAACACTTTCAGCGGGCAGATCCCATCCAGCATTGGCTCCCTGGCGCAGCTCACGTCGTTTTCGATGTCCAACAACTTGCTATCGAGTGATATCCCTCCAGAAATCGGCAACTGCAGCAACCTGGTTTCTATAGAGCTCCGGAACTCGAGCGTGCGAGGAAGCTTGCCGCCTGAGCTCGGCAGACTGTCGAAGCTCCAGAAGCTGGACGTGCATGGTAACAAGATCGCGGGGTCCATGCCAGCAGAGGTCGTCGGATGCAAAGATCTTCGCAGCCTCGACGCTGGAAGTAACCAACTTAGCGGGGCGATTCCTCCCGAGCTAGGCCTGCTCAGGAACTTGGAGTTTCTACACCTGGAGGACAACTCACTGGCGGGTGGCATACCTTCTCTCCTTGGCATGCTCAACCAGCTACAAGAACTGGATCTCTCCGGCAACAATCTCACCGGCAAGATCCCACAGTCACTCGGAAACCTCACTCGCCTCAGAGTGTTCAACGTCTCTGGGAACAGCTTGGAAGGCGTCATCCCTGGAGAACTTGGAAGTCAGTTCGGCTCGAGTTCCTTCGCCGGGAATCCATCGCTGTGTGGAGCCCCGCTTCAGGACTGCCCGAGGAGGCGAAAGATGCTGAGGCTGAGCAAGCAGGCGGTGATCGGAATAGCAGTGGGAGTCGGGGTGCTGTGCCTGGTACTCGCCACTGTCGTCTGCTTCTTCGCGATACTTCTCCTCGCCAAGAAACGCTCCGCGGCACCTCGGCCTCTAGAGCTGTCCGAGCCGGAGGAGAAGCTGGTCATGTTCTACAGCCCGATCCCATACTCGGGCGTCCTGGAAGCAACCGGCCAGTTCGACGAGGAGCACGTCCTGAGCAGGACGCGCTACGGGATCGTCTTCAAGGCCTGCCTCCAAGACGGGACGGTGCTCTCGATCCGCCGGCTCCCAGACGGCGTGATCGAGGAGAGCCTGTTCCGGAGCGAGGCCGAGAAAGTTGGCCGGGTTAAACACAAGAACTTGGCGGTGCTGCGCGGCTACTACATCCGCGGCGACGTCAAGCTCCTCGTCTACGACTACATGCCAAACGGGAACCTGGCGGCGCTGCTCCAGGAGGCGTCGCACCAAGACGGTCACGTCCTCAACTGGCCGATGCGGCACTTGATCGCGCTGGGCGTAGCTCGGGGCCTCTCCTTCCTCCACACGCAGGAGCCTCCCATCGTCCACGGCGACGTCAAGCCCAGCAACGTCCTCTTCGACGCCGACTTTGAGGCACACCTCTCGGACTTTGGCCTCGAGGCCATGGCGGTGACTCCGATGGATCCCTCCACTTCTTCGACCACGCCGCTGGGATCGCTCGGCTACGTCTCGCCGGAAGCAACCGTCTCGGGCCAGCTGACGCGCGAGTCGGACGTTTACAGCTTTGGGATCGTGCTGCTGGAGCTGCTAACGGGGAGGCGGCCGGTGATGTTCACGCAGGACGAGGATATCGTCAAGTGGGTGAAGCGGCAGCTCCAGAGTGGGCCGATCTCGGAGCTGTTTGATCCGAGCTTGCTGGAGTTGGATCCAGAGTCGGCCGAGTGGGAGGAGTTTTTGCTGGCCGTCAAGGTGGCGCTGCTGTGCACTGCTCCGGATCCTATTGACAGGCCGGCCATGACGGAGGTGGTGTTTATGCTCGAGGGGTGTAGAGTCGGCCCGGAGATTCCCACTTCTTCGTCGGATCCAACTTCGCATACGTCGCCAGTTTGATGGATCGATCTGATCAAGCAGGCAACAGAAACAGCAATGAAGAACAAGGAAGATTCAAGTGACTTTGATTGATTTTTTTTCTTTTCTTTTCTAGAGGTAGCACTAACCAGTGGAGTTGATCAAATCTCTTTTGTAAAACATCTGACTTGGGCCAAAGGATTTAAGCATGGCAAATTCTCATTTTAAACAAGCAAAAAGTGTTCATCTCATCTGGCCGGTTTCTAAGTTGCCGCTTTGTCCATAGGCCGAGATGAGCGAGTTCCCAGCGAGCAAGTTCCTCTCAGGCATGGAATTGTACACGGTGGACGCACCTTGAAAGTAAGCGTAGAGTTTGGAAGTCCAAGAGACGACATTCCTCTCGGGCATGGCGTCAAACATCCGCTTGGCTTGCCCGAGTTGCCCGAAGTTTGGATCATTCCATTCCAAGCTACCATATCTCTTGTTGGCATCAATTTTTCTTCCTCGTGCTTCCCATGTCCTTTCAGGGATCAAGTCAAAGTGGCTCAAAGACCCTATTGGGTATATGCTTGAAGCAGAGTGGTCCATGATACAATGTTGGTTTGTTGATTTTCTCAAACATGGATTGAGCTTTTTCCAAAAACCACAAGCTTGGAACATTGATAAAGAGCTTATACCCAAAGCCATAATGGCTAAGATCATAGATGTTAGTTGTACTACCATGGTTGATTTGGCGCAAATTTTTGGGACAACCGTGCCTAGTTGAAGTGACTGCTAGTGCTTGCACCTTGAGACACATTTGTTTTCATTGTGGCTCTCTTGAACATTATCATTCTTTCTCTAAAAAGAGGATTATGCCTCTAGGAATTGATGATGTCGAAGGATTGCTTACTGGTGGCATTGCATCTGGTTTTGAGATTGGCATTTTGTTTCATTCCAATATCTTTGGATTTTGTGGTGGCTGATGGAATTTTCCAAATTCTTTCACATCTTTGATTTGAATATCCTAGATCTTGAGTGGGCCAAACTATTTGGATCATCTTGATCATCAAAATCGAGGATACTTTGGCCCCTTCAAAAGTTACATGATCCAAAAAATTCAAATAAGAAATATGAAAGAATTTGGAAAACTCTCATAACCACCAACATATTGGAACAAAGCCAAACGTTGAATCTCAAAAATAGATGCAATACCACCCATAAGCAATCCTTCAAAAACATCAATTTGTGGAGTTAAAATCCTCTCTTTAGAGAAAGGATGATGATATTTAGGAGAGCTAATGAAAACAAACATGTCCCAAAGATGTGATCACCAGCAATCACTTCAACTGTACAGGGGTTGTCATATCCACCCCAAAAAATTTGTGTCATAACAAGATCAATTGTGGTAATATGACACAAAGGTAATGATATAGTCATCTGGACAAAAACAGAATGGTTGAAAACAATATAAACCCAAGTATCAAAGTGCACTAGCTCAATCTCAACAATTATGGCTTTACTCATGTTATTTTAATTGAATCTCTAATATATAATCTTAAGGGAAACATCAACTTTAACATATTATCTTGACTGAATATTTAATGACATGGTCTTTAAGCCAATTGGAAAAAAAAAATTTATTTGATGAAAAAACCCTTAATAGTTATTTTATCCCTATTTATCTCCCAAGGATCATGATAATAATATATTCAAATTTCATTCCATAATCACATTCGTTACACAAAAGGCCCTTTATAAAATATATCAACTACCATATCTTTTGTAGTAATAAAGTGTGGAGAGTAATTTTATCAAGGGACAACAAACAATTGAACATCCAAAAGATCTCACTCTTTACTGAAGTATAGAAGACAATGTGATGCTATAATGACATTTCTCTTTGGTACTTCAAATTGAATATAGTATCAATATACTTAGACTTGAAGTAAAGAGCTGGATATTTGGCTAAAGAAATAGTATATTGATTATCACAATATAAGGACATGGGTAGTGAGAGGATGTCCCAAGTTAATAAATAATTTATGAAACCATATGACTTCTCAAGTGGTTAGACTAGCTGTAATATATTCTACTTCTGTAGAAGATATTGCTAGCGTTGTTCATGCTTAGGAAATCAATAGACAACACCAGAATTTATATGAAAATAAAAGCCACTTGTAGATTGATGAAAGTTATTATTATACTAACCCAATCTGAATTAGTGTAAGCTATTAATGTCATAAAACGAGTCCATGATTATAGTGCCATTAAGATATTAAAGAACTCATTTTTCTACCTCCCAATAAATAATTTATGGAGCTATGAGATATTGCCCCAAGGAATTAGTAATATATGTGATATCAAGCCAAGTAGCATTACCAATGTATATCAGTGTAAACTTTGATATTTTGAAACATTTGTAAAAGCAGCAAAAGAAGTGTGAGGCTTTGGAGATGTAAAAATCCACTATAGCTTACAATCCACCATTCTGTAATATAATAAAGCGTCATGTAGAGGAATGTAATGTATTAAAGCATGATTAATAAAAACAACCTTAATGAAATTTAAGAAGAATTTAAAGGAAAATAACTTGATCAAGATTACAATGACCTCAATAACTCAATGATATTCCAAGCTCTATCTAAATTCCTATGTTTCAGCTTGGGTTGTCAAATACACTACTCACATTGTTAATATCTATACATCTGGGTCACCAACTTTACAACATACTTATCATTGCAGAAGCTCGTTACTTGGATCTGAGAGCTTCCCTGTTTCTAATATGATGTCCCAAACAAAATTTAAAACATAAGCTTCAACTAACAATTCCTATTTATACATGTTATTTATAATGCTATAATAAATAAAAATAAAAAAATTTTGTTACACATTGCATGTAACAACACTTGGTGTGCTTAAAAGTAGTGTTATTCTTACTTATTAATCTAATTGATTAAATAAAAGTTTATTATTATAAACATGTTTATAATTTATAAACACAAGATTAATCTTATTGCATATCAACCATTTAAATGGTATACTAAAAATAGTATACTAGAAAATGTTTAAGAAATTTTATAAATTATAAACATGTTTATAAATTATAATTACAAGATTAATCTAAATGAATAACAACCGTTAGATGGTAAAATATCCTAGAATATCCAAGCATATTCTAGGTACCATCCCAAGAAAACCAAAAAACATCATATAAATTAAGTTTGAAATCATGTGATTTATCAAATTATCACGTTGAAGTAAAATTCAAAAAATAATTATCAATCATTTATTTCTAAATTCTAATTTATCCATATCTATGTTACAATTTGAAGTGTTCTGTAAATATATTTACATATATAATATCATAAGGTAAATACAGTATATATCCCAAACACTCACAAAAAAGGCATTATTATTTTTTGTTATATTTCTTGAAGCTGGTCTTAGGGTTCATGGCAATAGATGAACTCCCAGTTGCTACATATGAACTTATTTCTAGTGGGTACACCTGTTGCTTGTGTGGCTGCTGTCACTGCTTGCATTGTTCAGAAGGAGTAGCAGCAAGATCTGTGATGCAGTGGACAAGTGGATGGTACTAGTTGCCAATTCATGGAAGTTAGTGTCTTGATCTAGGAGGCAGTAGATCATGACTGCTCACGGCCAAAAAACCACAAAGACACAAAGAAATGTTTTGCTTCTACACTCCAATTGATTGAGCTCATCACTATAGTCCAAGTGATCTAAGAGGTTAATTTGCGTTTAATGAACATATATGTACATCTCCTAATGTCCCAAAGGGACTAATACAAAAGGAAAATAACTTGATCAAGATTACAATGACCTCAATAACTCAATGAGGCATGTTAATTTATAATCCATATCTGGACATATAAGTCCATGTCAACTAATGATTATGTATTAGGGATTCAGTCAATATTGCTTGGCTTTATCATGCTAGAGTCTTTTGGCAAATATGGCAATCCAAGAGACAACATCAAGCAGAAGATATTCCAAGCTCTTTCTAAATTCCTATGTTTCAACTGGGGTTGTCAAATCCCCTACTCCCATTGTTAATATCTATACTTGGGGGTCCCCAAGCTTTACAACATCTTTTTCTTTGCAGAAGCCCAGAGGGGCCACCACCCGGGGGGGGGGGGGGGGGGGAGACCACTGCTAGCGACCTTATTGTCGCCATAAAAAATGACAAAGCAGGTGCTTCTGAAGGCATTTGTGTCCTAGTCCCTCTGATATACCTCGGAATTTTGATCCTCTGGTGTCATCCCTTTAATTAATGGCAATTGATGTCACTGAGCTCAGATTGGTGTTCACTGCAAAGAACTGCACTATGGCTTCAATGCACTGCTTCAACACCTTAGGAGATGCAAACCAGAACTGTCTAGGTCTAGGTTGAGGTCTTGTTGTCTTTCGGAAGCCTAGTGTTAACAGTTCTAGGTGTGAGGCACCTCTTGCAGGTGTGAGACTTGCTTGCAACCTTCTGCTGCACTACTACGAAAACACAAGTTATGGTATTTGGCCATCTGCAACACAGAAGTGAGGACAATGACCTTCATTACCAACATCACTTTCTGGTCAAAGTAGAAAATTATAATTACCTTGGGTATATAGTCTGCCAAAAGAATCTCTGGAAGGTCGAGACAATAGAACACATCCAAGCAGCCACAAGAGCATATTACTCACTCCAGAATGACCTTAAGCAAGCTGGCATTTTTGGATAGGATGAATGTAGACAGTATTACCACACAAAAGTGATCACTATCCTCACATATGCTGGGGAGGTTTGGGGCCCTGAACTACCACGAATAACGTGGTTGGTTCCTGAATATTGCATTTGGTTGCAACAAAGTGGCAATTGGGATCCTAATTGGCTTGCTCCTCATTGAACTCCAAGTGCGGAAAAACACAATACAATACATCCTCAATCTCATATGCACTACTCACCAAAATTCCAGCATGGCCATCAACCTGTAACGGCTTATCGGTATTGTTATCTACTGATCTTTGGGACAACACCACTACAGAATCCTGGCATGCTATCAAACAGGACAACATCACCTGCACTCAGAAGCTGGTAATTGGGAGGGATGCAAGTTACCCTGGGAGGACCAGATCTATTATTTATGCGCCAAAGACATTGAAACCGTCCTCCACATACAAACAACAACGGGACAAAGAACCACTCCTCAATTTTTGAGCTACCCCTCCCTCTCTTCCTCCAGTAATGGCAACACCAAGGACTTTGTGAGTACCT